TTAGAATGCTTCTTTTAATATCTGAACGATGCAACCTTTAATACATCTCCTTAATTTCCTAGGCTCATCGTTAGCCACGTTCTTGAATTTAAACTCTCTTTGATGATGAATGAATCCACTAGACCATTACAATCAACTCATATCTTTGATTAAAATTCATTATTAATATTGATCTCTTTCTCATTTTGGATTAACTTATGGTTTCTCTGTTCTGACACAGGGTAACCGGAAAAGGAAGTGGTGAAGTTTGTGTTTCAGTGAGGAAAACATGTTTTGTTTTATATTATGCACTTGAACCAGTGAGAACTTTAACTATTTGTTTTTCTCATGCATGAGATGAGTTTTCACGTTACTAACAATGAGTTGAACGATATAAAGCTTACTAAGTAGTGAGATCAATAACAAAAAAAAAATTGTATTATTAAAAAAGATGACACTCAGAACAAAAATATTTATACTATTATTTTTGAAGTGATTTTTTCGTTCTCACGTTAAAAGTTAAAACGTTTAAATTATTTATTAACTTTAATAAAAATTAGATTAAATTTAAAAATATATAATTACCCATAAGTTAAAAATATTAATTTCATAATCATCATTATCTAAAAGATTATTTATTATGTTATCTAAAACTATTTTACATCATAATATTAAATATTATTAATACTAGATCCTTTGTAGCGCGGACAAAGTACACTAATTTTGTTTTCATTTCAATTTTTTTTTTAAATATTTTACATTATATTATATTTAATAATAAAATTGATAGTAATACCTTGGTTTGATTAAAAAAATAACCTTATGATTTAAAATATGATAATGATAATTTGAAATATTTCATTATATTTTTTTAGATATAATTATATTAATTTTTTTAATTATTGTTTGCATATTTGCATTAATGTCCATGAAAAATGATTAATATATGTTTTAATAATATTTAAAATAAGTGATATGTTATCTAAATGTTTGCTGTTTCATAACTTTTATTATTATTTTTATGTTTTATCTAAACTACTACATTCTGAATAGAAATGTATATATTTACATTAGCCACATTTACCCTCAATTTTTAAGAATAAAACAGATACTTATAATCATAGACTTAACTAATCTAGATTTTAGAGTTTAGATTCGAGGGATACTATTTCGAAAGATGAGGTATAGGATTTTAATAAATATATAAACAAATATTTCTTTTTATAAATTTTTTTTTTAAAAAGTATTTAATAAATTGAATTCGAAAATGAAAATTTTGGAAAAAATATAAAAAAATGAAAATATGAAATAAATAAAATTTGAAAACAAAAATTTTGAACAAAAAAGTTTTAAAATAAAATTATAAAAAAGTTCTAATTTGAAATTTCATAATTGAATAACTATTTAATAAAATTATATTATTATTTATTTAAATAATTATTTATGTTTACACATCGATAAAGTAAGGATATATGAGTTTTTTTACTCTTTAATGAAGAAGGTATTTGTAAGACTATAATTTTAATGAAGGTAAATATGAACTGCAGTACTATAAAAAAAAAACTAAAAGTGAATATATATCTTTTTATATGTTTTAGAAGACTTGTATATATATTTTTTATCTTTACTTCTTAGTTTAACCATATTTTATTTTACTATTTTTTATTGTTTTATTGTCTTTGTTAAACTAAATATATACAATACATTAATCTTTCCACCTGGTGTTTTCATATTTTATATTAATTCTAAATTAACACAGAATTAATACTTGTGTATTCAGTATACAATATATAATTGTTTTTTTGTTGTTGTAACTTTACAATATATTATTGTTTTTAAACATACAATATATTACTGTTTTTGAACTTACAATATATTATTGTTGAGTCCGTTTTTTCACAGCTTTAAAATTATTGATCAAGCACAGTTCCTTGCTGTTTCATTGCTTCTTTCGTTTTTATGAACTACCTAAATCTCTAGCTCATCATATAAATGTGCATTTTCAGATTCTATGACTAAAATGTGGAAATTGTATAAGACAAATGCCATTAGAAACAAAGAGTGCGCATGCAAGTATATCCCCCAAATATTTTGTAGATTACATGCATTGAAGATTTTCATATTTTCTTGTGATTGAAGATAACTGTTTACCATGTTGCATACTGAAAGAAAAATGAGTAGTTTTCGATATGAGGTAATGGTTTAGTACTAAAGGATCTTCTTTGAGCTCATATACTAAGGAAATAAAGGAAAAGAATGAGAAAAGAGTAACAGGACACATCCCCCGTTTAGGAACTCCTAAAATATGTTCTCTATTCTCTCTATCATTTGAGCATCCTCACCTTTCACCTGAAATTCAAAATTTACACAGGCATGATACGGGTTATTGTTTGACTAACACTTATTAAATATTGCCATGTAGTCCTCTTGTTTCTATGATTTATATAATTTTTTAAAATAATAAAAAAAAATGCTAACACATATGACAGTATTTCTAATCTAAAGTAACGTTTGAGATGGGCTAAGATACCAATGCAAGAAGAGAACAGCTATTGGTTGGGGTGGTGAAACTTATTATCAGAGTAATTATATTGTATACATTTGGGCAAATCTCGCTGGTCTCAGATTATCTCACTGTAATTATGTTAAAACTGAATTTCTCTAAGATTAATGTGTAAAATTTTTAAAAGTCACCGGAAACCAAACCCATAGGCATGAATGCATGATCCCACATGGGTTCTTTAGGTAGAAGACTACGGAAACCTTGAGGGAAATATAACTTAAACAATATAGTTTGGTCTGTCAACTATTCATGTATTTAGTTAAAAGCTCGCAAACATCGAATTAAAAATGGTTGTAATGAAAGAGCTACCTCATTGTAGAGGCTAAGAAACTTACTCTTAACATTTTTCCATTGTGGTCATTTGTGGGCCTCTCAGAGTTTTAATAGATGCGCAGAGATGAACTTCTTTAGCTTTGTTTTCTGAATTCCCCTCTCTATATCCATAAGATTTGTTTTCTGATCTCTCATCCAGGTCTTTTGCAAGTGTTTTGTCGGCCTCATCAATTAAGCCAGAAGCTTAAACTTCTTCTGACTTCTCTCACATACCTTCAAACAAAAAGAGAAGATTTTTTTTTGGTCAAGTGACCCAATTAGATATAACCAACCAATATAGATGAACATGCAAATATATTTGTGAAATCCCTACGAATTACTCGCAAACGAATCCAGGATAAATCTTGTGTCCCTATAGTGATGTATGATGAGACTCTCCTCTTTTATTCCATAAGTTAAAATCATAATAATCACACGCCCATTTTGATCAAAAAACTAAATAATCACACCCATATCTTGAAATTCTAATAGCTATAAAACAAAAGCTTTCTAAGTAACCTTCTGCTGTCAAAATCTAGTTTTCATTTTTCATGATTGTTTCACAGGCCCCACTATAATGGTAAATTGGCTAGATATACCTCGTGCTCTCCTATGCTTGGTGACATAGTATGGCCATTATAATAACAATTTGGCTAGATATGCTTCGTGTGTACGCTTAGTGACATGGTGCAACATCATTTGGTCATTAATCATGGTCTCCTGCAACAACATCAACAGTTGCCTCATAGTAATTCTCTTATATGTACTTGAAAAAAATTGTGTTAAAAAAAAGTACTAAAAATAATTATTTGATGAGATTATATGTATGGCCAAAGTCAATGACCAGTCTCGGTCAGCAGCAGCAGCATCTATACTAATATGCTCCGATGCAGGTTGTTCCACATGGTTCTATATGGTTCATCTTTCTATCACCACCAACATTCAATGAAACTCATCTATCTCTTTATTACATGTTCTGCTTATCAACAAACCCACACAAGCTCCACGACCTCTAGATATATCTCTCTTAAGAACAAATTTTACGCCTCATTCTTGATTTTCTTGGCTAATCCCCAGGGTACAATTCCATGTCATTTACCTTGTACACCATATCAACTCCAGCACATTAGATGATATTATATTTTTTTCCAACAAAGTCAAACTTACCATTCCTTATATAGGCAACACTGTCTTCAATGTAAAACAAATACGCATGTGATGTCCTTAATGATCACATTTACCCCGAGAAAATAATTCAACTGTTAAGCTAGAAGGAACCGAAATGAATGTAAAGCTCAAGATGTACTGTTTTTGGAAACTCACCAGTCCCCACTTGTGAGTAGCCATGGCAGAGGAAAGTAGCATGTGTGTATATACTCTAAGCCGTGAATGATATATAAAAGTTCTCTTCCTCGTAGATTCCACATATTTTGTATTTGGCTCCGTTAAGTTGGATTAGTGGCTGAAAATATCAAAAACAAAAAGAGATATCTCAAAGACAGTAATGATAATGATCATAACATTTAAAAATATGTCAGACTATTATATTCTAGCTGCCTTTTACAAAGTATCAATGTAGTAAGAATACCTCAATCCTAAGTACATTTGACAATATCTAAAGACCAAAGGAAAGAGGCAACTATTTTACACTGGTTTCAAGATTAAACAAAACATTAAATATGTCGAGAAATCTTGTTAACTTCTTCTTGCCTTGTCTTCTCTCCAGAGAAACTTGGTCTATAAAACGTCCATGAGTTATATGACCTATAAAACTGAATCAAGAATAGTTCTTGTGTAACCAAAACATGATCATTACCTTCTTCCATGCCCTCCATGAAGCATTTCAAGTTTTAATTTTCCTGGTTTTTTCTGCATCTGATTCATCCGATACGCTACAATATGGACATCATCTTTGATCACACTCAGCGACTCCATGGGATTCTCAAAGTAGCTAAAGATCTTGTGCTCATATACGAAAATAACTAACATGAGAATCGTGTTGAATGTAACCACTGAACTGTGGAGCAACTAAGTTTTGTCTTGAAAACTCGCGGTGCAACTGCATTACTTCCTGAGTGGCAAACTCCTTCAAGAGCTCGCCAAACGCCTTAGCAAGCTCGTTTATAGAGTGAACTCGCAAGAGTATTCAAGTATGGGAGGTGTGTGTGCCAAACACTGAAGAGCGCTGTTCATGTAGCAGGTGTTTCCCAACCAGTCCTGCTAATCCTGAAGGTTTTTCTTCCAGAGGTAGCTCATCATTTACTTCTGAGCTCCCATCAACTTCAAGAAGAATCTGCAGCAAGTCATTTAAGCGAAATAGAATAATGTGATTCGTCAGGAATCAACTCAATTTTGGCATAAATGACTCTTGTCTCTAAGAAACTTACATCTTGGGTCATGTGAAGACCTAACTCTTCAATGCTCATGCAAGATACCTCCAAGACTTGGCCTTTCCTCATGTTGATGTAATCCCAAATGTGAGCCTACTTATACATATTATAATCATCAAATGTGAAGCAAAAACAGAACACAATCTCCATAGTAATGTTACAAGACTTTCAAATACACACACCTTTTCTTGAGATACACCTTTCTTAGCACAAACCTTGTCATAAAGCTCCCTTGTAGTGGCCTAATAACACATTATTTTCCATACATGGTGACTGCCAATTGATTGACATTGCAAAAGAAAAAAAAGGAACCTGCCAAGATTCATGGCCTTTGAGAGAGTTAGACACATTCATTATCCGATCAATGTATAAGGACGAGATGTACGCAAGCGAGTTCTGTTGCTGTCAAGTATGAGGAGTAGTTGTAGCTTCTGCAGATTTTTTCCATCGTTTAGCTAATCTGTGTATTTGGACGGTTTTTAATATTTGTCTCAGATATAAGTCAGATAATTGAAGCTAACACTACAGAGGAATACGTTACCAACAAAATATATATTAGATTTACCATATAGATACAATGAAGTCCCAGAAACAAATTAACCCAAGAACACAAAATCACATTCGAGCTAGAATGATCTTAAGCTTTATATATATATAACCTGTCCACCATGAACTCCATTCACATGCCTAGTTGCAGGATCTTCACCAGTTAAACTTTTTAATGGCCATAGCTTTATCTTCTTTTGTGAAGGTTGTAGACTTGGATTTAATATTTGTACTGGAGATGAAACAAACCATGAAGAGAACTTAGAGAAGTGAATAATGAAGAGTGGTTCGTGGTAAATTCATATGACAAACACCGATTTGCAGGGAGGGATGTGAAACGATGCCGACGAATTTGAGGAGCTGGGAATTGATCGTCAAGAAGATTGGGTTTGAAGATATGAGTTCCAAATGGGCCATGTCAAATTATAAAGCCTAGATTAAGAAATCTCATATTTTTCATTCTCGACGAAATAGGACCTGACGTGGCAAGATATAAGTATTTGATTGGTTGATTAAATTAACAGACGTGGCATGCCTCTCCTTTGAGGATTAAGGGCTTTTAATATTGTTAGATATAATTACTCATAAGTTAAAAACAAATTTCATTAATTTGATAATAATTATTATCTAAAAGACTCTATATTATGTTATCCAAAACTAATTTACATCTTAATATTTTAAACAAAAATAAAATGATGACCATTGGATTTTAATTTTCCTATAAAAAAAAGCTAATGTCATAGAAGTAACTACGTTCAAGGGTGATTAGTGTTACGCCTTCCCCATTTTTTCTCACATTATAAAAAATTTCTGCGTGGGTATGAGAAAAGTTATCTCTGCATCATGAGTAGTCCAGAATGGACCATCGATATGTGCCCATCAACTATGAAACTTGTTGCATATGCGTCTCTAGGTAATGAGCTCTCTGATTAACCTGAAAAAGTTTACGCTTTAACTTAGATTTCTTTTTTATTGTGTGAATAAGAACGCCAAATACATGGACATTAAGGAGCTGTTATTGGTTTGTGACTTAAAAAGAGTTTTAATGATTTCCAAATTAAATCATTAAACTGAATTTGAAAAGAGTTTTGATGATATGTAGATTTTGTTTTTTGTTTTTTTTTCTAGATTATCACTAACTTTAACTGAAGATTATTATAAAATTTAGCAGAGTTTGTTTTACAAATATTGTATGATATTATGTTGTGTTTGTTGTTATCTTTTTTCTGCCATCCACCCTTTTATAATTCAGTAGTTTTTAAAACTACACCTTTTTTTTTGAAACTCTGAAAACTGCACTTGATTTGTCTTCCACACGAGCTTCCAAAAATTTTTTGCTTCACAGAAGATTCTAAGCAAATAACACATGCAAATCTACCAAATAATCTTCTCTTCCTCTATTGTTTATTTTTCTTTATCATCCCAACTATTTGTGATGCCAAGCTGTCGATTAGAAAATTCTGACATTAATCGATCTTCTTCATCAGCACCAGCACTGAAACCCCATATAATCTATTCTTTTCATGGGATACTAACTTCATCAAGAAAGCTCCAATTCTAATAGCACTAGTCGATTATACCTCTTAAAATGAATTCTCTACAAAGCACATGTTATACACTGATTTCTCTCGAAAACTGTGATTTCTCTAATTTGGATGATTGGATCATATCTTTGTTTAAACTCTAAAGTGGAGGTGAGTGAGGGAAGAAAGAAAGAGGTGGTGTGTTACTATTTTACAATGGCCGTTGAGTGAAAGACGTCCCACAATTACAGATTCGTGTCATATGCAATTAAAAAGAAAAAGACTATGAAAATCTTGATCAGCTTGCAATACTTTGATAAACATATTTTGTGAAGAATTTTTTTACAAATCAACAATCCAATAACAACAGATATTAAAGTATGACAAAATTAGTTAACTTTCATTTTTTTGAATAACACAAAACTTTCCTTGACTTTATAAAGTAATGGATCCAATAATGCTAGAATTTTGTAAACTTTTAACTACTAATTACAAATTTATAAACCAATAACACAAGACTTTAACATACTTTTGAAAAGTTGTAAATGAATAACACTAGAATAATCAAACACATCTAAATCTGTATAACTTCTTGTAAATTCATAATCCAATAACAGCCCCTAATTGTTTTCTAGGGGAAGGGGTTGTTACTTCTCTAATGTTGTCAAGTCTATAGAAAGATAAACATCAGATATTTTTACATGATAATGAAAAAAAAGTTTTCATAACGCTCTCTGGAAACATTTTCTAAAAATTAATAGTATAGTACGATAAGTTATCATATGATTAATAATTAATAATGGTTAATATATAATTCTTGTTGTTGAGTCTGACAGTTTACTGGAATTCTTCTATATATAATTAACTCTCATTCCCATAATTTATAGTCCACCAAAATTGGTTGAAAATTCTTTGAAATCTTCACATACACGAAGAACCTTTCAAGTTTGTTTTTATTTAACTAATAAAATATAAACGAGCCTATTAATTACATTAATTAAGTTTAAATTTATGAAAAGGAAAAAAACATGATGTTGAAATATTATGATCATATATTTTATTATATAAAGCTTGATTTTCAAAGTTACTAATTAATATGATTGTGACACATGACAATTATCTATTTAATATTATGATATATGTTAAATATCAATTTTTCTTTTATAAAAAACTTTAACCAAAATAGTTTAAAAGTTTTTTTTTTCTTTTTAAAAAAAATCTTAAACCAAAATCTGTAAAAAAACAATATTTCCATATAAATAATATTTGATAATAAGATTTCTCTTTTAGACCAATTCTAAGCTAAAACTCACCCTAAAATCTAGATTTTTTTTTATTAGGATCCTGCAAATCCCGAGTTAAACTCCCCTCCTAAATCTAGGCTTCAATCTTCCACCTCTCTGGAAGTACTTCACCAAGTACGTCAGCACTCAACATACACCAATAACACCAAAGGCTTGATCACACAAGAAACACCAAACGTCTCGACTTTTCTTCTTGTTAGCAGAAACCTCTTTTTCCATGGAGGCACGTCCTCCTTGTATAGATACCTAGAACTTGCTCCTCAAGTTCTTCCAAAAGCAACTTAAGCAACTTTCCTTGTTCTTTTAAGGAATAAATCTTTTACCTTTTCCTCTTTAAGTAATACCATTTACACTTAATGTAAATATTCCAGTAAATATATTATATCTTCTCTAAGCTTAACAAGCCCACAGACATCATAAAACACGAACTCCAACTTAGCTCATCTTCATAATACTATTACCTCATGTAGTACTTCACGCACTGACACATAATATACATCTTCAATCTCTCCTTTTTTGACTATATATGTGAACTCATTACCTCTGGATAGAAAACCACGTCTTCAAACTCCCCCTATGAGTCACATCATGGTCAAAAACTAATAAGAAGATGGATATCTTCCAAAGTGAGGATGACATCCCATACCATCATCTCCATAATGATCAAATCTCCTTGACAAAGCAATCATGAGCCTGACACCTCCATGATTAGCTCCTTAAACAGACCTGAAACAATCACGTCGAATATGCCCTTGAACACCACAAGAATAACATATAGGTTCAAGACCCCCATACCATAGACTTGCTCCATCTGATTCTTCTCCCTCAACAGCTTGAAACACATTTGTCTAATGTGCCCAACAATACCACAGTGATGACAAATAGGCCGAAACTTTCCTTCAGATGCCCTCTTAGGATCAGAAACATTACCCGAAGTAGTCGTTGTAGCAGTACGTGTAACAGTACTCGTAGCAGTCACATTCTTCACATCAGTTGCGGCCTTCACTGCAGTCTTCCCATTTGTTGCATTCCCAGCAAACACCTCTACCTTTGGCTTTGTAGCAGACGTAGCTACACCCTCAGTTTTTCTTGCTGATACAAAAACACCTTCAGCTTTAGAAGATTCACCTTTGAATCCAAGATCCAATGCTGAGAAGATGCCCAATGCTGAGAAGATGATCCAACTGATCCATCCCACTATTCAGCATCCTCAAACCCTTCTGAGTCTCCGAAAGTTGAGCACCAACCTGTCATGTTTCTTCTTCTTTCTCTGAGGCATACTTAAGTGCTTCAGCCACTTCTGCTTCTAGCTTGACTTTCTCTTTAGTAAACTCTGAATTAGCCTCAACCATCTTGAGCCAATTCTCATACAGCTTCTCATAATTTCCAGCAAGATCAAAGCTTTCATAATCACCATCACTTTCAGCACCAGAATCACTTCCACAAGAAGATCCTGACACAGACGCCAATGCAGATCTCGTCGCAGATCTCGTCCCAGATCTTGTCTTAGAACACGAATTAAAAGTTGTGAACGCCACCAAGTTCTTCAACTCATCACCTTCATTTGAATCAGTATCAGATTCATTCTTCTTCTTGTTTTGCGTTTGCAAGTTTGCACATTCCTTCCGAACATGCCAAAATCCATTACACTCATAGCATTTTACCTTTGATGATAATCTACCTGAATCACTTCTTCTATTCTCCCTTTTGCTTCGATGTTGCTCCAGATACTTAGCAAGGTTTCTTGACAACATCGGCATAGAATCTTCAGAAAATGATCCCTTGAGAGCAATTCCATGTGGTTATTCTTTCTTCTTCTCATTTTCTCCATATGATTTGCTCAACTCAAAAGCTTGAAGAATCCCAACAAACTCATCAAAAGCCATCTCATCCAGATTCTGAGCTTCTTCAACAGTAGAGATCTTTGACTCAAACTTTGATGGCAACGATCTCTTCAGCTTCTTCACCAGCTTTTTATCCTTGTAATGCTTTCCAAGTGAAAAACATTCACTCGAAATGTCACACAACTTAGTGCTAAACTGAGCTACTGTTTCCTCTTCATCCATCCTCAGATTCTCAAACTTTGATGCTAACATATCTAGCTTGGTACGCTTGACACTTGTAGTACCTTCAAACATATTCTCCAATGTCTTCCATGCCTTCTGAGCTGAAGCACATTGAGAAATTAACTTAAAGTAGCTTGCATCAATAACATTGTAAATTGCAATATTGGCCTTAGAGTTACAACTTGAAGTCTTCTTCTCTGCAGCAGTCCACTGATCTCTTGGCTTCAAAACTTCAAAACTTCAACCTTCTCATCATTAAGCATCACCGGATGACTCCAACCATCTCACCATTTTCTTCTTGGAAGCTACATTTAACAACATAATGTCGATAAATATAACCAGCTTCTAGAGCATGTGGAAAGCTACTATTGTATATATATCAACTTTATGTTCTATTTTCTTGATGTTTATCAACATGTAACAACCTCTTAGATGTTTTATTTGTGTTTCTTTGTGATAGTTCTTATTGTACTATAAGACGGTTTATGGACCAACCATTTTCATTTGTTGCCTCCATTGACAAGATTCTATTTTGTAGATATATCTTCTCTCCGGTAACTATTTGAATAGTGGGTAACTAGCCCTGAGATGATACCCGAACTATATGAATAGTGGTTTTAAGTTCGTACTCTTTTGAAACAATTTTTTTTTCGGTTTTTTTTGGTTAAAATTGGTTTTCAAAAATTAAAAAGACAATTTCAAACCGAACATAACTGAAGAAATCAAAAATTCAAACTGAACTAACCGAAAGAACCGAATCTAACCAATTTTGACCGAATATGTTATGAGATTATTCTAAATAACCGATAAAAAGTCGTTTGGTTTCAGATAATAATCTAAAATGAAACGGAAAACTGTATCGAACCTAATGTTTTCAGTTTAATTCGGTGAGACCGAAAATACCAGACCCGAGTAAACCTAAAAAAACCGAAACCGCAGGGCTAGGGCCCTGTTCGTTTGGTGGTCGCTAGCGTCAGCGACGAAACGATGTTCATTTGGCGGTCGCGGGTTGAGCGACAGGTCGCAGCAACCAAATGCTAGCTTCCAGCGTTTAAAAATTTGGGTCGCTAGAAATTTTAGCATTCGCGACCAGAAAACACGCGACCAAAAAAAAAAGGTTAAATTACAATACTCCCAAAATCAAACCCTCGTCTTCACACCTTCATCTCTTCCTCGCCGTTTCTTCACCAAGATCTCACCCTCATCTCTCTCTCTTGTTTCACCAGGAAAGATCAAGGTCTCTCTCTCTCACTCTCTCTCTCTCTCTCTCTCTCTCTCTCTCTCTCTCCCTCTCTCTCTCTCCTTCCCTATCTCCCTCTCTCCCTCTCTTTGAAAATTAGGGTTCGATTTGGGGCTTTTTTTTTCCCACAATCTGAATCCAAGTTTTGTGTGTAACCCAATTCCACAGACATGGTGAGGATCTAGAAAGTAGATTAATTAAATTGGTTGTTGGGGTTTTTTTTATTTCTGATATGGGGTTCTTGAATAGCGTTTTCCGTAATTACAGTGAATGAGAAGACAAGACATCTTCTCTTTGCTTTATGGTTGTGACTTGTGAGGCTGGCTAGCTTTTTTATTTATCGCTACGACATTTTGCCATTTAATACCAGCCATGTGAACGTACAAACATCTTATTTTCTTTTATATGTTTGGTCCCGTCAAGCTAATTCTTTTGTTCATTACTGTAAACACAGCACAAACAAATTTCTCGAGGTAAGAATTGTTCAGTCAGTGACAAAAAGAACCACGTTCAATGGGTTGCTTTTAGTTTTAATCCACGTACTCTGGAGCTGTCATAAATATCTTTAGTGGCTTAAAGCATTACTTGAGTATCTTTTAATGAATTATTATGTTTGTCGTGTTATCTTTTTTATCATATAGAGCTAGAACTAATGACTTATGTTATCTTTTTCTTGGTCAGATTTTGGACAGCAATCACAACAAGACAAGAAGAATGTCTAATGATGTTGTAAGTGTATAAAACACTTATGGTTTTTTTTAGATGTTTTGTGATTGTTTTTTGTGCTAGTTTAGTTTGTTTGTCTATAATGTGATTTGTTATTTAGAGTTGGACCGACGAAGAAGTTCGGTATTTTTTTTCTCTTTATGCTGATGAGAAAAAGAAAGGGAATAGACCAAAGAGTGGCATAAATTCAATTGAAAAAGAATTCATCATTAAGAAGTTTGAAGAGAAATTTAGTAAGAGATGGATATGGGACATGTTTAAGAACAAGGTCGACATTAGTAGAAAAGCTTATGTCAAGTTTAAGAAACTGACTCATAATAGAACGGGACTTGTCTATGATGCTATGGGAAGGTTGGAGATGTCAGATGCTTGGTGGGATCAACGCATTGCGGTAAGTAACTTTCTCTTAGTTGCTTTAATAGTATACTAGCATGAAAAAATACAAAATGTCTTTAAGTATACTAACTTTTTCTCTTAAACAGGAATGGCAAGGTGCAAGAAAGTACAAGAACAAAATGTCTCCAAACATGGATGTTTTTGAAGCAGAGTTTGGTGCTGTTACTATAACTGGAGCAGAAGGATGGTGTGCTCAGCAAGGAGAAGCTAGCTTAGATTCTAGAGTAGATGCAGAGAAGGATGATGAGTCTGATTCAGTTGACACTGATATGCCAGCACCAAGAGAAGGAACAAGTAGAGCTGGATGTTCAACGTCAAAAAGAAAGCCTAAGAATTTGATCAAGAGCCTTATGTTGTACGGAATGCAATTCTGGCTGAAAAAAATAAGATAGCTGAAAAGATGGTAGAGATACTGGCAGAGGATCGTGTGGTGTTGCAGCAGGATCATAAATTCCATGTGTACTCTGTGTTAGAGATACTTAATGAGCTGCCTGGAGTGATAAAGTGGTCACCATTTCACATTGCTTCAGTTAACCATCTCAAAGCTGATGAAGGAAACATAATGGCTTTTATGTCTTTCTCTAGTGATGATGATAAAATTAGCTATCTTGAGAATATGATTGGAGTTAAGATGTATGAAGGATTGTAGTGTGTTTCAGTATGACTATTTTTAGTAAGAATGTTTTAATATGACCTAGATTGTAGTATATCTTTTAAGCGTATGACTCTTGTTTTATTTTTTTTGTTATATGAATTAGATTGTTTCTTTTAAGAGTGACTGTTTTAATATGAATGGTTTCTGTCTTTTTTATGACTTTGAGTACAGTGTTGGTTTTAAATGTAATTACTCTGATTTTTATGTTTTACAGATGGTTAGGTGGTACTTGGATGATAATGATGATGATGATGATGATTATGAGGAAGAGCAGGAAGTTGATGTGCTCAAGCCAAAGAGATTGCATCATAGAACAGATCGAGGTGCTGGTTGGCGTCATGTTCAGCAGCTTATGCATGGGTCAGATCAACAGTGCTATGATATTCTTCACATGAATCAGAGGACATTTCAGGATTTGTGTAAGATGTTAGCAACAAGATATGGGTTACAAGAGACGATCAATGTCTACATTGAAGAAGCGGTTGCAATGTTCCTTGAAGTGGTGGGTCAAGATAAGACAGTACGGGTTATTGCACAAAGATATCAGCGTTCATTGGATACGATCAAAAGGAAACTTAGTGAGGTTTTGAGTACTCTCTTGAAATTTGCTGCAGATGCACTAAAACCAGAAGATGGAGAGTTCACAAGAGTATGTCATGCTTTGAGAGGTGATGATCAATACTGGCCAATTTTTAGAGATTGTATTGGAGCTTTGGATGGAACTCATATCTCAGTTCGTCCTCCGAAGGAAAATGGAGCAGCATACAGAGGTAGAAAATAGGAGCCGACCATGAATGTCCTTGCTATATGTAACTTTGATATGAAGTTCGTATATGCTTATGTGGATGTCCCGGGTAGAGCACATGACACAAAGGTATTGACTTATTGTGCGAGGAATGAGCATTTTTTTTCCACATCCGCCAATTGGAAAGTATTATTTGGTTGATGCGGGATATTCTATAAGAACAGGGTATCTTGGTTCGTATCGTAGAGTTCGGTATCATCTCGATCAGTTAACAGAAGAGGACCGCCAACGAACACTCGAGAGGTGTTCAACCGGAGACATTCGAGCATGCAATCTTTGATTGAGCGGACATTTGGAGTGTGGAAAGAAAAATGGAGATTTTTTTATCGTAGGCATCCAAAGTATGGTTTGGTCAAATGGATCAAGCTAGTAACAGCAACGATGGCTCTACACAACTTCATACGTGATTCACATTGAAAAGATAATGATTTTGTGCGTTGGCAGAGAAGAGAAGAATATCATACACAGGGTGATGATGAAGAAGAAGAAGATGATGATGATGATGATGATGATGATGGCGAGGATGAAGATGAAGATGATGAAGATGATGGTCATGGTCATGGTGGACATATTCCATATGAGCCAAGAAGTGATAGAACCATGGAAGATTTACGTGATCATATTACTACTGAGTTGAGTAGAGGATATCGATTACCTTACTAGTTTATTTGATTTGGTTTTGTACTTATTTTTATTTAGTAACATTTGCTTTTTGGTTTTAAAATTTATTTTGGTATATTAATATGATTTTGTTTATAAGATGTGTATAAATAAAAAATAAAAAATTGAGTAATTAAAACGAATTTTTAAAAAAATTAATAATATTGTGTCAAAAAATTAAATAAATATTTTAAATGTAAATTTCTGGTTGCAAACATACTAAAACGCCAAGGTTGCCCGTATCCGAAAATGTGTTCTCTATTGGGCCGTGAAACATAAGAGACCAAGCCCAAGCACATCTCTCCTCCAGCCTCACTCCTAATGATTCAATCTTTGGCAACCTTTCACTGTTACGTTTCCCCCTTTTATCTTTATCCTTAGTTCGAATAACACGCAACAGACCCGAATCAATCTCCAATCAGAATTCCTAGGGTTCAAATTTCGAATCTCCTTCTCCTTCTTCTTCCCTTAACAATGCCAGATTAAACCAAAAAATCCGAAACCCGACCCACTTCGAAAACCTCACCAAAGTTCCAATCTTTACCAACCCCACCCCCTCCTCTCCAACCGAATCGCATTCTCCGAGATGGGCATTGACGAAGAAGAAGAAGATCCAAGAAACCGATCATCTCTTCCACAGACATTCAAGCACTTCCACAGAGACTTACTCGCGGGAGCCCTAATGGGCGGCGTCGTCCACACCATCGTCGCCCCAATCGAGAGAGCCAAGCTCCTCCTCCAAACCCAAGAAAGCAACCTCGCCATCGTCGGCGACTCCTCGGGGAAGAGACGCTTCAAAGGAATGTTCGATTTCATCCACCGCACGATCCGCGAAGAAGGGGTTTTATCTCTGTGGAGAGGTAACGGAAGCAGCGTCCTCCGTTACTACCCTTCCGTAGCTCTCAACTTTTCTCTCAAGGATCTTTACAGAAGCCTCCTCCGTAACAGCTCTGCGCAAGAGAATCATGTCTTCTCCGGGGCCTTGGCTAATTTCATAGCTGGCTCTGCTGCGGGATGCACTGCTTTGGTTGTTGTTTACCCTCTTGATATAGCTCATACTCGTTTAGCTGCGGATATCGGGAAGAAGGAGGCTCGTCAGTTCCGCGGGATTCATCATTTCTTGACGACGGTTCGGGCCAAAGACGGGGTTAGAGGGATCTACAGAGGGTTGCCTGCTTCTCTACACGGTGTGATTGTTCACCGGGGGTTGTATTTCGGTGGGTTTGATACGGTTAAGGAGGTTTTGTCGGAAGATAAGGAGTTGGCGTTGTGGAAGAGATGGGTTTTGGCTCAGGGTGTGACGACTTCGGCTGGTTTGGCTTCTTATCCGTTGGATACGGTTAGGAGGAGGATCATGATGCAGTCTGGGATTGAGCGTCCGATGTATAGTAGTACGTTGGATTGTTGGAGGAAGATTTATAGGGTTGAAGGGTTGAGTTCTTTTTACCGTGGCGCGCTTTCTAATATGTTTAGGAGTACTGGTTCGGCTGCGATCTTGGTTTTTTATGATGAGGTGAAGAAGTTCTTGAATTGGGGAGGGATCTAAAGAGGTAATGTGAATTAAACAAGTCAGGAGAAGTATGATTGATTCATTTTGATACTACACCTTAACAAGGAGACACATGTAGGTTTAGTTGGGTAATATTCGTTTTTTTACACTTATGCATATTGATTCTTTTCTTTCTTGTTATAGACTTTGTTTGTATGAGGAGGAACAAAAGAAGGGAATCTATTTTGTAAATAAAAGAACATGGATTTGCATTCTTTTCCTTTTATTAAATTTGTTATCAATCATTATGGATAGAATAACGACAGGAGATAATAATGATGGACTCTAGTTCTTTAGATACAGTTTGTTATCTTTGAGCCTGTGCAAGATAGAGTGGGAAAGTTACGCCTTGTAACATAGATAGTATTGCTACTCGGTTTGCTGCAAGCTTTCTGCTATTCTTACCAGTCAGGAAGTATCAAGACAACTCCCATATGAGATGCAGAAGATGTGTTGCTTATGGACCAGAACATGGCTGATCCGCTGCATTTACTTGGAACAAGAGTATTTCAAATGTGATGCAAAGAGATTGTGAGATCTCTTAAGTGAAACAGCTTGGATGTTTTCTTTTGCTGAAACACAGATGCCTTTACATTCTAAGTTTTTCCCTCTTTGACGAAACCAACCATCACTTTGGGTCTCTCGTTCCCTTTTTGGCCTCTCTGTTTCATTGTGAAGTTGAATGGTTTTTATAGGTGTGTGTAAAGAGATGCCTTCAACGAGTGCTGCTCTTGAACAATCCAGCTCGTGATTTAGGATTCTTCTGCCAGTGATGTATCGGTGACCAGTTTAAGAACTGCGTCAATCACTAATGTGAATATGCCACAAAGGTTAGACGTTTTTCTTATTCTGTGAAATTCTTAAGAATATGTGAAAAACTTTCTTGCTCCTTAATAATCTTTATTAACACTAAAAGCTTGCAATATAAAAAATGTTTTGGAAATCAATTTCTTTCGAACGTCTGTGCTTCCTTTTGTCTATTTTCTGGTTTGGTAGATAATATGAATAGATTGAGACGCATGATCAAGGTTAAAAGAGCCTGAAAGATTATGTTAATCAGTGCTTATCTGGCATCTGTTGGAGAATGTTTGATAATATTCGTTTGATCGTATAGGGTTGTTATTAATTACTATTTGTGACTTCCAGTAAAGTATGGTTTCTTGTGAAAAATCTGTAAGAGTATAATCTCAGTGTTTGTTGACGTCTGTTTGTTTGGGTCTCTGGACACGTAAAGCAAGGAACTTTCAGTCACTTGCAGGATCCCTTGAGTGATGTCATTGTTGAAGATGGCCACTATGCATTTTAAAAGCATTAAGACACGCATTTTGGTCTGCTGCCCAGCTGGTTTGGTTAACTAATTTCTTGTCAGATATTGTGCTGGGGAAGGTTCTTACTCGTAGTCTAGTTTGAGCATGCAGGAGAGCTTGTTGCTTACGCACCAAATTAGAATTTGTGGGAAGCTAATTGTTGGATAAATATTGATGGTCTGGATCTTGCAACTGGTCAAACATGAAAAATCGCTTGGTGGAAACAAACCAACAGTTGGTTAGTTTAGAGGAAGCAAACCGTGCTGCCTTCCACCTCCTCCACTTAGCCATTGTTAGACCACTTACTAATGCACCCCTTTAGAATTGTGACACGCAAGTAAATAGATACAAATAGTAATTACAGACCTTGTATAACGCAAAACACCTTTATTTAAGTTGATAAAATGACGAGCATATTTATCTGAGCAAGCATAGTTTACAACAGCAAAGAAAGAAGTTTCTTTAAAAACTGAAAAGTCAAAAGTTACTTCATATTAAAAGCATTTTCTTTCTTTTTGTATATTATTTTTCTGTCTTATCTTATGATCTGAATTGCATTTATCTAGTCCCCTGCTTTTCTTGAATTACCTTGCTTACAAAACAAAGAAACAAAATTGCTTTTTATAGGTGAACGACTTCAAATTTGGATGTTTCTCTCAGTTTCAAAAGCTCCATTAATTTGATTGTTTCAGTAGATATTTGGATTTATCAGATCAATATTGGCTTGCCGCTACGAAACCAACATTCTATGCACCCAACAAGTCAACCTGACGTCAATTGTTTGAAACTTCAAATAATACTAGTTTCTAGCTTATGTTCACTTTTTTTTGTAACATAGCTTTTGTTCACTATTTTCAGTAATATCATTGAACATTCATGATGCAAGTATAGTAATAGTAATTCTATATGATTATAACTTTATCTTAAAGCGAAATATTCCTCTCAATGTTTTTTTTTTTTTTTTTGTAAATGGATTCCTCTCAATGTTCATATAACTTAATAGAGTCACCGACTAGCCTGTTGAACAAACGACATGCTGTTATATTTTTGGGTTTCCATTGACATTTGGGAAAATTTTAATTTATTCGTAGCAAAAAAATTTTTAAAAAAATTCTTGATATATTTTAATTGCTGATATTATGGAAAAAAATATACGAGAAATCTTCATCTTTTTAATCCTTAAAATATGAGAACATATATCGTAAGATACAAGTTAACTTATTGTTTCTTACCCCGTTACCCGACAAGAAAATCTTTGGTTGGCCTACGTATACGAAATTTAAATTATTTTCCATGGTTTAAGTTTTTTAAAAATTAAACTGGCTATATACATTATTAGTTTTTGTTCGAATTTGCAATATTTTGTTATGTTGAAAATGACTTTAAGTGTAGCATATATATATACTTATTATTAAAAGATGTAATAAGACGGTATAAAATAGGGAGAATTTCAACTATACCACTTTTCATGTTTACCATCGATAAAAAAACATTTTCAAAAATACACATTTTATTAAAAGATAAAAGACTTATATTCTTGTTCTTTATATATATACATAAAATAAATATAAATAAAAGATTAACCCTAAACCCTAAAACATCAATTCTAAACTCTAGACCCTAAAAAGTAAACCCTAAACCCTAAAAATCAACCATAAACCCTAAATTATCAATTCTAAACCTTAAACCCTATCTAAACCCTAAAAAGTAAACCCTAAACCCTAAAAAATCAACACTAAACCCTAAACTATCAATCCTAAACCCAAAACCCTAAACCCTAAATTCTAATAGTATTTTGACTATTAAATTTTTAATGGTAAAGTTGGTTAGTGTAAAGTTGAAAAGTAGTATCTTGAAAGTGTTATTTCTGACAATTTCTCTATAAAATATACTACATCCGATGCAATATTGTTTGACTACCTTTAATTTTGATACAGTTGTTGTAAATTACTTATTTATTTAAACCATATTACATGTTTTCATATTTTTACATGCACTATTTCCTATGGATTCAAACATAAATTTGATTTTTTTTTAAACATAAATTTGATTGAAACTGTATTTTATTGGCAACCTACGGAACAATATCATTTTTTTAACAAAATCAAAAAAAAAAATGGAACCAAACAAAATCAAGTTTAACCGGTAAAATATCATAGAATGTTAACTATTTATCAGTCCGGCTCTATGATCGTCTTCGTCGCTAAAACTAACATGGCATAATTATATGAATCACATTTCATATACAATGTTTATCAGAATCCAGTATGACACTATATAAACAAAAACATTATTTTTATTGCATCCTACCGGGTTCTAGTTTAGATAGTGATAATGCCACTAAAATACTAATAGTGATTAATTGGTTCGTCCAAGCAGTTAGCTGTGAACCACTACCTGGCGTTCAGTAAGTGATTCAGATACACATAAGAATGTTCGGTCCTAACTGGCGTTCCGTGATTCAAATGTAAATAAATTGTTTATTTTTACTAAAAGAGAGTAAATCATTTTAATTGTTTAGCAATATCTTCAGAGGACTTCTTACTCATGGTCCACGATAACAAGTAAAGTGAACGTTGAGGAAGAAGATGAACTTTGGAGAAGAAGGAGTTTGTTATCAAAATATTCAACTCAACATTAAAGTCAAATGTACATCGTATCCGACTTATATACAGTCAAAATAATCAGCTAACATAAGCTTAACCAACTAACCATACTAACCTACACCACTAACATACACATATCATGTGAATAAC